CAGTCCTACAGATAGCTATTCGGAGGAATCTGAATGGATGTTGGATAGTGGTGCGACCTATCATGTGTGTCCTAAAAGGGAATGGTTCTCTAGTTTTGAGAAGCTAGTGGATAGTGGCGTGGTGTACATGGCTGATAACCGTGCATGCCAGATCCTTGGGATAGGAAGAATTCGCATAAAGATGTTTGACGGGACTGTTAGAGAGTTAAATGATGTGAGATGTGTTCCTTTTTTGAGGAAGAACTTGATCTCAATTGGAGCTTTGGTTGGAGAGGGTCTGAAGGTTCGTGTTGAGGACATGGTTCTCGAGATTGCGAGAGACTCTCGTATTTTGATGAAGGGCGTCAGGAGAAATAACCTGTATTACTTGACTGGAGGTATAGTGGCAGGGGGGGAACTGGCGACTTCTGTTGATTCGACTAGACTGCGGCATTTGGGGCTTGGCCATTCCAGTATTGATTCCTCGCATAGATTGAAAGAGGGTGCAAAGACCTGCAGTTTGAAGTCCAGTGAACATGTTGATGTGAGCAAGAAGACCGAGGTGAAGTGTGGCACCTCTATTCACCGTGCTAAGGGTCGTTCTAAAGGAGTTCACGTGGATGTTTGGGGGCCTTCCAAGGGGACATCATTGGGAGGTAATAGGTTGGTGGCTGTTCTAGGCGTGTTTGGGTTGCAACCAAATCCCCGATGGATAAAGTCCTAGTAGTCTCTAACAGATTGAAGAAGTGTGTAATAGACAGAAAGGTGAATGTACTCCATTCTGGTGGGAGGTACAAGATGGACCTGTTTCTGTATTGGAGCCGAGCTCACGACATTTCGAGACACTTCGTTGGAAAGGAAATCTTGGGGCAACTAGATAGGGTGACAAATTTGGAGAATCGTACCTTGCTGGAGGAGGATCGATGTTTGTTGTCAAGCAATGGTCTGCAGAAGATTTTCTGGACAGAGGCTTCGACAAATTTGGGTCATCCTATTAAAGAGTTGTTAACTGCTGTGATTGGAGGTAAAACTCTATTGGAAGATAGGTCTGGTAGTGTCACTTTGGTTGAGGCTTCGATGAGGAAGCTAATTGACTCTCAGCAGGTGGAGAGTTTTGGACAGACCTTAGAGGTATCGCAGCGGGTGGAGATTGATGCTACTCCACATTGGGTGGGGATTTTCGCACATACTCCAGGTCATTCTGCATTGGTTGGGATTCCAGCTGAGATGAAACATCGTGGAAGTCATTTGGATTCGGATGCAGATGATGAGTTGGGTTTTGAATTGAGTGCAGCTGGCAGACATAGTTTGGATATGGCCATTGGTTCGCCTCAGGTGGAGGTGTTTGAGGCCATTGGAGGTGCTATCAGCCGCAGAGTTGATGATATTGGAGAAGGGTTGTGAACTCTTCTATTTGTTTGAGGTCGTTCGCAGCCATTTGGGTGAACTACGTTCGGCTTGATACATTGGACAAGAGGATACGTAGACAGTCTTTATGATGCAGCCGGGTTAGATTTTGATGGGGGTGAGATCGATTTGGTGAGTTGATACCGATATTTGGAGAGTATTTGCACTCTCATTTGGGTTCTCGACTTGTTATGGATTGAGTCCGTTATCGTGAATTGTTTCACTTTGTACTGGACACAACAAGTGAGGTATTTGTTTTGGTTGGTGTCGGCTCAGTTTTGAGAAAACTTCGCCGAGGTGGAGAATTGTGAGCACGTGGGGGGGACCACGTGATTAGATTGGCTGGGGAAAACAACCGCGTGAGGAGATGGAAGTTCACAAAGATTGTTTAGCGGACAAAAGCAAGGCCCACCCGATTAACCAATAGGCTATAAATAGGAACATTGTTTTTTAGCCTAGGTTTTGGTGCATTTTGAAGGGGTGGCGGCGGCAGAAGTGCAGAGAAGAAAAATCGGCTCTCTCTTCTGTTAGACCCTAGAGGGGGGGTGATTAGGGTCTTATGCTAATCTAATCCGATTAAATGCCAATTAAAACTAATTAATAAGTTATCCTAGCAAGTATAAAATACAATAAGATATGTAAGCTAGGATAAGCAATATGAACAAATGAATATATCCTATCAATGAGATATTACAAATATATGAGCAAGGATATATGAATGAGATATTACAAAAATATGAGCAAGGATATATGAACTAACACAAGGGTAAAATAAACAATCTACACAAGTGATAGGGTAATATGATGAGCAATACACAAAGGCGATATAAGATATGAAAACAAGAATAAGAACGCCAATGCAATCACAAACAAAACGATATGTTTACGAGGTTCGGTCCCCACGACCTACGTCCCCGCTCCTCACCTCGAGGAGATCTCCACTATCACAACCGGGTTTTCTACGTTCACCCGAATAACGTTTACACCTCACACTCGGAATCCCCGACTCTCGCCACACACTTCTCTCTTGGTGTACAAGTGTATTACAAAGTGTATCCTCACAATTAAGCACAAGATAAATCAATTGATTGTTCTCTAAACAAGGTGAGAACTCAATTAAGCACAACTCTTAGTCACTAATCTCACAACCCAAAATTATACTATGAATGTAAATACAATAAGCTCAAAAGGTTGTGTGTGAACAAAGAGATATAAATCAAAACTAAACTCAATGTAGTTCTAGCTTAATAACAATGATAATCAAATATATAAAAAAGCTAGAAATAGAGTTTAGAAAACTTCTCAATATATCAAGAGTTGGAGGGAGAATAGTTGAATGCCCAAACACCAATAGATGATCTCCTCAAGCTCTTGTAGAATTGAATCACAAAAACAAACTCTCAATTTGCTTAAAAGCTTTTTAAACACACTTAAACCAAACTAAAACCCTTGTTAAAAACTTTATTAAACTTGATTAAAAACTCTCTTAGTTAACTTGAAAAGACATCAGCAATGGGGTATATATACCCACTCAAAGCTCAGCCAAAAACCCCAAAACGAAATGACCAAAAACCCCAGCAAACAGCTCAGAGAAAGAGCCGTTAAAAAGCAACGGCTATATTGTCGGTCGACCGAAAATCCCGTCGGTCGACCGATGAGAGCAAAACCACGAAGAAAACTTTCTGGATCATCGTCGGTCGACCGGTGTGGTCGACCGATGGAGTTTTTCGGTCGACCGGACCGGTCGACCGACAGACTCTCTGT